AGTTACTAGAGTTTTCCCCGTCGCCAGTTATGTTATGTACTCGTCGAGTAGTTAATAGTCCTGACGCGGAAAGAGGGAAATCAGAAGACCACCAGGTTTACGATGATACTTGTATTTTCCAGACAAGGAAAATAAATGTCACACAAGAGTGTGAGTGAAATGGTACAAGTGTACGAACGTGGGAACAAGAATATGAACAGGAATGATAAAGCAAGAGTATATATGAAAATGGCTAATATACATGAACAAATAGATAACGTCTTACTATGATTGGTTGTAATGTCATGTGATAACAAGGTCATACATTGCTTATTTAGTTAGTGGACAGACAAAAGCAATACTGTCAGTTATAATGGAATATTGATCCATATACACATAGCAAAATATAACAGACTGTCAAAAACGAAACACACGTCATGTGGATACATATCAGAAACAACCGAACACACGGAAGTGCATTCGTCGTCCAATACCGTTCTTGGAAGCAATAGAGAGGATAAACTGCTTACTTGCCTACTCATCCCATTCTTCTGTATTCATTAACCACTAATCGCCCACAAAGTGACACTAGGGCTTATAGAAACTCCACGGTATCACGGGTCATATGAAATCTGACAACAAATTTGTCTTCAGATATAGACCCATACCGCCTAAAGGAATTAATTGAACGGTAGCTGAAAGTGATACAGCTGCTTGATGGCTTACGAATAAGGTCTCCCAACAAATCATGTCTAGTCATTAGCAATACCGGAAGCGCACAGGTAAATTAGTCTATCACCCTAATGCAAACATTACTTCCGACACATTATAAATTATTTAAATTAATCCCAGCGTGTTAAGAAAATCAGAACAAGATTTTTCTCAACGCTTCGCTGTGTAAGCCACAGCTTCTTCAGCAGATTTATTCGGATTTTTATTAATCATCAAAATATATAGTCAAAAATTTTTACATCAATTGAAGTCAGTTTATTTGAGGGTCATTTGTCCATGGACACTTTTTACCAATAGAAATAGGTAAGCAGTCCTCACATATATTTGTAATGACTAATGTCAAATTGTTGTTGTGTTTACTCTTCTATAGTTGATTTGTAAAGATTAGATTTGTATGCATGTGTGTGTGTATGTATGTTATTTGTCATATGGAAAATACGTGAATTCATATGTGATATACATGATACTACATGTTTTAAAAGGTCATGGAGGCTCATAGAGTGTTTGTTGTTTTTTCATTTGTCTTGCTTCATGAGTTTTGATAGTTTGAAATATTCCAGCGCTGGTCAAAGATATGTCGAAGATATAGTTCCCAAAATGTTACAAAGTAATTGTGTCTACAGGATAAAGTGTTCAGAATGTGATGCATGCTATATAGGGGAGAGCAGTAGACAAGTGAAGGTCAGAGCGAATGAACATAGACTATGCACGAAACGTCCACCCAGAAATGAAGTAGAATAAAAAGTCTAGAAAAAAGATCGGGTATAGCAATGCATGCAATAGACAGCGGACATAAGATTGATTTCGACAATGTCGAAATTCTTGGAAGAGGATTTCATTCACATAAAGAGAGATTGACTTCGGAAGCCTTGCACATTTTAACCACATCAAATGCAGTGAATAGGAAAGAAGGTATCGACTTATCACCTATATGGCAAACTCTTATGAAGCAAGACAAATGAAAAAACAACAAACACTCTATGAGCCTCCATGACCTTTTAAAACATGTAGTATCATGTATATCACATATGAATTCACGTATTTTCCATATGACAAATAACATACATACACACACACATGCATACAAATCTAATCTTTACAAATCAACTATAGAAGAGTAAACACAACAACAATTTGACATTAGTCATTACAAATATATGTGAGGACTGCTTACCTATTTCTATTGGTAAAAAGTGTCCATGGACAAATGACCCTCAAATAAACTGACTTCAATTGATGTAAAAATTTTTGACTATATATTTTGATGATTAATAAAAATCCGAATAAATCTGCTGAAGAAGCTGTGGCTTACACAGCGAAGCGTTGAGAAAAATCTTGTTCTGATTTTCTTAACACGCTGGGATTAATTTAAATAATTTATAATGGATCAATCTGACTCGGCACTCAAATTATTCCAGGAAGTTCGTAAAACCTACGGTCCGGAAACTTAGTATTACTTCCGATACGTGACCTCACAGATACGAGGACGGGTTTAATGCACTGAGCGTCATTTTCGGATTTAAGTCTTTACGGTCGACTTACACAGGCACACACCTCTTGAGAAGATTAGAAGACAATCTACAAGTCATTTTGGGAACTACTGGGAAAGAGTACCACCGAACGACCAACCTTTACAATGATGGCAATCTGATATACTTTAACAGTAGGAGTGAGGCAGATGTGCATGCAATGCACCCAGTGTCATCGACGTTGAAATCCCCGTACTGCCTAAGGCAGAAACCACTGACAGTATGGTAGCACTGAGATGCTTGGTACTGCGTGATATCATGGAAATTCATGCATGTGCACCGATAACACTGTGGTTAGGACTCCTGCCGACCATGCACATGGTCCGAGGTTCGATCCCCTGCCGACACACACTTGATATCTATGCTCGGCCTGCAAATTCGTGCTACCGATATCACATGCTGAAAATTCCATACTTGTACCAAAACTAAGGTGTGGAATCAAGATGTAATCAAAAAAAGGTGCAAACACATTCTTACTATTATGCTTCTGGCAACCTTAGAAAATTGCTTCGGCACATGTCTGTGCAAGACAATTTTTATAAAAACTATGATCCCGGTGACTAAGTGCCATTTAAACAATCTCTATCCTATCATGTAGTCATGTAACATTACGTTGCTCACACGTTCAAGATGGACTTAGTTTCTTAGCGTCATCTACGGCTAATTGAGGAGGTATAATTATATTGTGTAGTGCTTTTATAACCCTTTTGCTATCTCGAAACAATGCTACAATTCTGACTTGTTTCAGTATGGTAATAAGACTTAAGTGTAATGCTTCCATGAGCAGTAAGTATGTCTATAGCAATTTAAATGTTAGTAAATTAACACTTAGTTTGTAGTAAATGTAACAACTTTTTAGAACATGGAATAATTACGAACATTGTGTTCATGAACTTGATTAATTTGTGTGAAACACATTTTTAAAGTTGTTGTAAGATCTGATAACTACCATCTCTTAGGCAATATGTTGAGCGAAACAAGTGATAGGTTAATACGTAGACAATTTTTATGTAGATTACACTTAAATCTTGTTAAAAAATGAATACGTCATAGGCTTAATTCCAAAGTGACAAGATATTGAATACTACATCGTACATCCTTAAACACTCTTGTTGCTTTGTTGTATACTAATCCTACCTACAGAAGTGCAGTCAGGCGAATTATATCAACAGATTGAATCATTACGAATTTCGTGGTAAGACTGCATATTTTAGATGTGAGGGACACAAATTAGATGAAATCTTTCCCGGATGTTTACCTGAGCGTATCATCCACCTATCGAAACTTGTAATTGAAACACACAATCTACCGCAGAATTTGTCTTAATGTAACAACAGCTTTTGTTAACAAGAGATGAGGAAACTTCCAATTATTTCCAGTCACTGTTTCTTAGTCACTGCCCCTGACAATAAAGCTCACTGGCATTTTCAGATACCAATCTTACTGCCTAGTTTTTGTATGTTTTTTTTGTAGTATTAGCAACTAGCGTACACTGTTGTACTTCAATCAACTCAAACAGGAAGACAAGCACTAAGAAATTTCACACAGCTTAGACGGATCCAGTTTTTACGCGGAAACATTTTCTTCAAAGTCGATAACAGTTCGTCTTTGTTCTTCACAAATAAATAGGTGTAACTAATACTTGTCAAAATCTTACAGAGAAATCTTTAATAGTCTAAAACCTACTTTGTCTCGAAATCTGAAACAATAGGTGGAACGTCCTTCCTTATATATTTGTTTCTCCAAATGCTGAGTGGGTTTAACCTCCACTAAAGTATTATTATCATTATTATTTTTACTATCATAACCTTTAATTTCTAGAGGAACATAGGGCTTCAGCCGCGCGTCTGCATTGCGTTCGGTTTTCTGCCAACTTTTTCACCCCGCTCCAAGTCTGCCCACACACTTTCATCTCCTCTTCACATGACCTCCTCCAAGTCACCCTCACACTGACGACCAACTCGCCGCTTCCCTTTCGGGTTCCACTCGAGCAATGGCTTGTCTAGTGATGTCACTTGGTGGTTTCCTCAGAGTATGGCCAATCCAATCCAACTCCATTTCTTCCTGCCTATTTGTTTCACAATCGGATCCTCTCTAGTCTTCAGTTCGATGAATCTCCACTAAAGTAGAATCCACAAAAAGGACTTTGAATACGCAGTACTTCATAAATAAGCTGAATACTATTTGGCTGACTTATCTGAGAAGTTTAATTCTTTCGAGGAATAGGAGCTAACTGAAGTTTGAATAACTCATGATATGAGGTGGAAACATGGTCAGTAGTTAGATTTCATATCTCAATGAACAGAAAACTAGAGCGATAACTTCATGTCCATTGGTTTGAACATTGTAAGTTGATCATGCTTCCGTTGTAAATTCTGATCATCATTTATTATGATGCCATACTTCACATGGAATCCATCAGTTTGGATTTTAAAAAAATAACCGCTTCCAGTGCTAATTTGCACAAAATACAAAAAATGTAGTTCTGTTCAACTTCACTTGTTTTCGTAAAATGTCTGCGATCTGTAGAAAATTTATAAAACATGACTTAAAGACAAAGCTGATATTTTTTTTACTTTCTGTTATTTATCTATGAGATACAATTAATTGGTCATTCTATGATGATGGCGTATATGTTATCTCCTTGGTCATTTTACTGTTATCATATTCTTTTCATGTTCTAATGTTATTCACCTGATAACAACAAAACTGTTGGAGTCAAACAATGTAATTCTGAACTATACATCCTCCACAGACCCCCCCCCCCACACCCTCACCCTTTTATTACATTGTGTGAGTAAAGAGAACAATGACAGAGAAGTTCATCAATTATCATGGTTTTATTATAACAAAAATGCAATCCAGTCTATCTCATCAAAGGGATATTTAACATTACTACATAACCTAATAAATGGATAAATGCATAGCACTCTAATCATACATACGCACATGAGTATTTCATTATGGTATACTGTCAAAACGTTCTTTGGTTTTTGCACGTATATACGCTTGTGATAATTCTTTTGGTGTCGAATCAATAGGCACAACATTTGCCTTACTATGACTTGAACCAAGTCCAGCTTGTGGATTCACTCGGAGATTAACAGTTATCTAGAATAATGGAAACAGAGACAACAACAACAACAAAATAATCGGACAAAACGTGTACACCATATAAATTGACGAGCAATGTTCGGCACATATATTACATCAGAAAACACAGGTGAGTTTAAAAGTAATCGCAAGGCATTTTCGCCAATATATATTCCAACTGTGTAAAAAAATCGATAAAACACCTTGGAAGCCGCCAGACGTAACACCTAATACGATAACAACATCCCTTCAGGTACGTAATACGGAATCACGTGAGACCAGTTACCTGAGGGGGAAATTCAAATTGTAATTCACTGCCTCAATTCTACCCATTCATATAAGCGGAAACGCAAGGGAAGTGAATTTGTTTCGACGATAACTAATATAGTGTGACCCCCGTAAAACAGCCGTTAGAAGTTGAAAAATAATAATGACGAGCTTTTCTCAATCATTTAAAAGATTTTCAAGTGTTGGTTTGTAGGAATTTTATTGGCTTACAGGATTTCATCATGAGCTGACATTAGTTAGAGAACCATTGGAAAACCAGCTGAGAGTACTGGACAGCCAGCTGTTTCCTCCGTCCTAGTTTGGGACTCTTCATCAGTACGCACCCACCGGGACTCGAATCCAGGACCTTCTGGTTACAAGGCGAGCTCGTATACCATTAAGCCACTGGGACCCGATCCAATGGCCCACGAATTCTAACTTCTGCCAATTCACAACATAGCGCGACCCCTAGCCAATGTCTTCGGCGAGTATTTGTCCTGACACCCTACCAGCTGCACCCTATTATTTCGAAACATAAATTCAAAAATAGAATTTATAATACTGAAATTATTCGAACACATATATTCTAGACTTAAAATCTGATTCGCTTGACTTCAGTTGAAGACATTTATTTGTTAAGCGTAAGCTCCTTTTATAAACCTCACTAATTGACATGAGAAAAACTTCAGCAAAATAATACGAATTCATTTTACTTCACTAGTTGAGTACAGTGACAATAATTATTCAGGTTATATATCCGCATAAGTCAATTAGTCCAACAAGGATCAACTGTAGTTACAATAGCTTAATAGTAAAGTAGTTGATAATTAAATAGATTGAGGCAGGTTTCAATCTCAGGCGGATACGCTCTTACTGATAATTACTAAGTAGTCTAAAAACTGGGTCTAGAACTTTCTGATAAAATAATTGGAATATAACGGGAACCCCATAAAGTATACCAAAGCTGAGTGTTATACAGTCATTCATTTAGTACAATATCAAATAATGTTATCAAATATAGTATTGTATTCTACTGCAGTGCACAAGTTCTGAAAGACTTAAAACGTCGACAGATCATGAGATCCATCAGACAGTAAAACTGTCGGAGGGAAAGTACATCTGTTTATTAGCCATGTACATCATATTATTGTAGTTCAAACAAAGCTATCAGTCATCTGTCGAATTTCATCCTTGCAAGTCTGAAAGCATCAAAACTGTTGTGAGAACAAATAATCTCAAATAAGGTTTTTCACAGGTACTAATCAGCTGGAGAAATTCATACGGAATGACATCACATCCAGTTTATACCCTCCGAGCACGTACTATCTGGTTTCCCTCAGTTCTCTAGATTCAAAAAAGTGCCTTAACCTCATTTAAACAAAAATTAGAACCGCAATCAACGTGAAACAAATGACACATATTAAAGAATATATACACAGAGAGAGAGAGAGAGAGAAAAGGCTTACCGGTTCTGCAATCCCAATTTTACTCTTGCCTAATCCTTGACCGGGTGTCCAACCCATTTTAGTCAACATTTGAGCACCTTTATTTTCATCTCCAATAGGTTTATAAACACTGGCTGGTGTTGGTCGAGCGATTAACGGACACTTATTGACTACATGTTGTTGTCGTATTACACCAGGTGGAGGAGGTAAAGGATAACCGGCTGCCTTCAAGTTTGCTTCAATAGCTCGACGTTGCGCGGCACGATCAATATATTGTTCATTATCAGTTTTAATTTGTGTTCTCATGCGTGGAAACTGTGTAGAATAGTGAAACAAAAGAAAGTAAAAGTCATTTGAAAAGTAATAGTGAAAACACTAAACACAGCCATAAACACACACACATAGTTCACATTTACACGCATAATATTTTACCTGTAAAAGAAAATAAACCCACATAAAATTGTTGCGTTGACAACTTTTTATAAAGTAAACTGATTTCACAGAATTTCAGTTAATTTTATAAATAGAAGAATCGTTATATGAAGAGGGATTATCAAGAAAAGTTAAGATATACACACACAGGAAATGTGTACGAGAAGATGGAAATCTATCACAGGTAAAAATTGGATAATCGGTGAGTGAAATGAAAGGACATTCTGGAACAGAATAATATGAACAATTATGCATGAATTATCCCCCTTATTTTTATAATTAGTATTGAAAATTTATGATTTTTCAATGAATGAAGTAAGAACCTCGATGAACAGTGTTGGCTTACAAAGATTTGATCGATCACAGGCTTGATCATGAGCTGACATCAGTTGGAGAACTATTGGAAAACCAGCGAGTACTGGACAGCTATTTCGTCCTAGTATGAGACTTTTCAATAGTACGCGCACACCAGGGTTCGAATCCGAGATCTTCAAGTCGTAAGGCGAGCTCGTAGATGATTCAGCCACTGGGACCCTGTTGAACGGCCTATGAGTTCGAACTTCTGCTAATTCACGACGTATATAGGGCAACCGCCAAACAGTGTCATAGGCGAGTAGCTGTTTTCCTACCTGACTTGGTGAATCCTGCTGGTTACGACTTCTCACTAGAGCTCCAGGCCAATTCCCGTTTACAGTCAGTCGCTAGTGAGCATCAAGCTAATTATCAAGTGTTGGTGTGCAGGGATTGGATACAGGTTTGAAATTAAAATCTGATCAGTAATTGTCGGTTCATTGTTAGGTAAAATAGGATTAGATGGGGATAAAATAGAAAGTGAACCTGTTGATCTGAGCTATACAGTTTGTGCAACTGTGGTTCATGAAGTAATCAAAACTGTTGATTATCATCACTAGATGGTTATAGATCAGAATTTATCTTAGCGACTGAGTCGTATTCGCATTCTATACTCACTTTAGTTACAACGTTAACTTCTCTTATTTAATTTACCATGTTCTAACCTTTACTTCTCCACGTTTCTCACTTTCAGTTATACGATTTTTTCTAATTTCCCTTCCATTCCTCATTTTTTGTTGATCGGTGAATGTGAATTTTAGCAAAATGGATCATCTCACACAGTAACGCATGAGGATGAGGTCCTGTGTCAAAAATATGCATCAGTTCTATTTATTTGCCTATTGAAAGTAAGTAGTGATTGCCACTCAAATATGGAAGACCTTGAGCTGCTATCTAATGATTTACTTATACTACCTATATGAAGACCTCTCCACATGATCGCAATAAGGTAAAGTATTTTGTGAATTGCGTGTAGCCTAAACAAATAATGCATACATTTCATACAGTAAGCCCCTTAATCTAGTTTATCTCCCGATGACTAAAGAAATTTGTAGATGTATGTAAATATTTATGGACCATTGAATCGGGCCCCAGTAGCCGAATTGTTCTCAAGCTCGCCTTGTGACTTGAAGATCTTGGATTCGAACCCTAATGTGCATCATGTAGTGTTGAAGAGTCTTAAACTAGGACGAAATAGCTATCCAGTACTCGCTGGCTTTCCAATAGTCCTCCAACTAAAATGTCAGTCAGCTCATGATCAAGCCTGTGATCGATCAAATCCTTGCAAACCAACACTTTGGTAATTCATTTTAATCATCGGTAAAACACTGGATTGATTAATAATTCACAGGGATCTTGGATTTCAGTCATGTTGTGATTTGGTTTCTTATTTTCACTAAGATAACTATACCCTTCATAAAATTATAAAAGGACAGAAGGCTAGTACGCTTCGTATAAAAATGAATCAATATATAAATGAAAAGATTATAAATTTATTAATCAATGAGGACAATGTAATTTAAATGATATTCAACTAACCTTTAATCCATATTTCTTTTTAATTTCATTCAATTTCACTCGTCTTTCTATATCTTTTATTGAATGCGCTGATGGTTACATATTGTCATTGTTATTAATTATGACGATATTATTTGAGAGAAGGTTTATAAAAAAAATTAGTCATTCAGAAGGGAAAAGGTAAAAAAAATATCAGATTGCAGTTTAGATCATCAGATGGTATTAGTTAGAGAAGTACTGAAAACCAGGAAGAATTGGGCGGTTTTGTTTCGTTCAACACCTGAAAACTAGTCGAATTCTCACTAGTGATGAATGACTGACTACAGGTTGAAGTTAACTGCAGTAGGAGTGAAAAGTTGTGACCACTAGGGTCCATGAAGTGGAGTCGACGACAAATGCTTCCCGACGATACTGGATGGCGGTGTTGTTATGCCTCGCAAATCAGTAGATGTTATAATTCATGAACCATTGGATTTTGTCCCAGTGACTGAAGAGCTAGTGCACTGGACTGGTTGTCTGAAAGTTCCGGGTTCGGTCCACAGTGAATTTCACGAGGCGTACTGGTGACGAGTTTTACATTAGGACGAAACAACTCTCCAATACTCTCTGGTTTACAGAAGTTTTCTGAATGATGTCAATTCATTATCTAACTTTAATCAAACACTTTAAAATATCACATTATTTTACAAGAAATAAATTCACTTGTCTAATCGTCTTCTAAACTACTTAAAACATTCACAACTAGCGGATCATAGTGTTTATTGTAGCGTCCTAACTAAGACAGGCAGGTTATCTCCTTCGGTTGGACATGTAGTATACACACCTAATCATGATTTATCATCTATTTGGGAAATCTTTTAAACTAAACAATAGGTTAATATTGATTGACATACCTTGAACAATATATCTAAGCTTTTGTAAAAGATTGTGGATAACCATCATCTTGTTAGTCAATTGATTACATAGATTATTTGATAAAACACTTCCCTGTACTAAATTCTACTACCTCTGCCACCATCAACACCCACTGAACTAACTAATTCTATTTCATATGTAGGTTAAATGTGAACAGCATAGGATAAACCTTCGATGGCTACTTAAATGTTCATGTATAAATCTCTTAATCTAGAACTGATCCTGATTCGGATATTTGTTCTCTCATTTATTTTGAATTACTGAATATATATATATATATACAATACTGTAACAGATCGTCTCGTATCTTCGCTTAGGTCAAGCTATTTGCTCATGAAATACTTTTGAAGGTGATAACATCTAGAACGTTGAATAGGAAACATTTGTTGACTATATCAAGACGTACCATATGAAAATCTGTAAAGAATGTGTAAAAGCTTTAGTCAATCATTTCAGCTAGATTTCTGAAAAGCTAATAAATTAATTATACATATTGAGAAGTTTACATGAATTAATAGTTAAGATACTAAAATACACCTCAGGTGATTGGTAATCTCAGTCGACAAAGCTAGACTAATCAGGTGAACTGCATTAATCTTTAAAGATGTTTTATTTTATCGTGATACCTTTTAAATGTTAAGCATTGAAATCTATACTTAACGTTCACAACCAACTCTCTACAGATCTGACACTTTTTCATCATTTCGCGTTCTGAAATTATAAGACTTCAAGCTTTGAAGTTATAGTCGCGATGATATTATATTTTTACGGGATGGGGTAACTACCCTCCCTGTTCACAACCTTCCCTCTTCACGGAGCTTATTACCAGCTAGTAAACTAGACAGAGTTCAAGGATGCGTCGACCAAGAATGGAACTCAAACCTTCGGTGTGGCTGACGAGCATTCTAACCCTGAACCCATTAGGCCGTCTAGCCACAATCGGAACAATGTAAAACTTTAAAGTCTATATTAAAGGAGTACAAATTAACAGGGTGCAATAAAATAGCTTACTTGATAAAGTTGCAGATTCATTATGTTCACTTTGATTATCATTTGGATTTTCACATTCTCTTGTTTCATTCACATCAACTATTGCAGCTAAGGCAGCTTTAATTTCTTCTGGATCACATTGTCCACATGTTTCATTACCATTATGTATGTGAACTAGCAGACGAGTTGATCCCAGTCTTACAACATCACCATGACACAATATTGTTGATTTATTCTACAGAAGTTTGTGCATGATAAGACGAAATATTCATCACAGTGACGATATCATGTGTATTTAAGAAACAGGATGAAAATGTCAAATATTTTGTTAAAAAAAAACTTAATACTACAGTGGTGGGTTATAAAAATCATTAAGGAATGTTTTTAGAAGTCTGTAAGCATTTCAGCCAATTTCTGTACTTATCCATCCTTGTGTTTTATGCCGTCCAGAATTCGTAATGCCGATAAATCCATATAAGTGATGGCTATATAACTAGTACTATAGTTCAACTCCCTCCCAGTAGTTCAAAAGCTACAGTATTATCCATCACAAAACCGAATCACAAAAGCCTAGATTATGCAAAGGGTATCAGTTCTAGTTTTTTGATAACTGTAATGTATCACTCTTGTGCATTTTACAGGAGAAAGTCAATCTACGTCTATCACCTCCTCCAGATGACATTTCAACATAGCACTTAATTTCATCTTGAAGTTATATTCGTTTTTAAGTAGGAATTAAGGATAGACTTTTCTGCTATCTAAAACAATGAGGAAGTACCGATATCAATAAACAACAATCGGAACCTGTATCACAAGACAATAGCTTCTGTAACTCAAAATTCTGAGTAAGTAAATAATTACAGCACAGCATACTGGACTTATACACCATTCGAGTAATCTAGATATTATGTTACCATAGACAGGTCAAAAGACATCGCATGTAGTACAAAAAAGCAAACGATTCAATCAATGAAAAACATTCCGATACATAGATTCCTTAAAAAACTACCACAAAATGCATATAAGTAAACAAATGTAAAAACCAGTATATATAACACAATATACCTTTTTCAATGTTACTCCATTTATAGAAGTTCCAAAATCCGGACATTTATTAACTAAAGTATATCGGCATGAATCAGCATCATACGTAACTTCACAGTGTATCTGTAAGATGTATTAAAAACAAAAACAAAGTGTTAAATAAGATATTCATAGGTGAGGATAATAAAAATGTAGAATAATCATCAAACACAAGAAAAAGACTTCAAAAAACAAAATAGCCGAAAATAATCAATACCAGAGTTCACAGAAAAACGAACAAAAAAGTGCGACAATTATCAAATAAAAGATAATACATAAGGCATAAAACAACAACAAAACTATACACCACAAATCCTAACAGGGAAAAATATACACGAAAAGAAAACATACAAAACACATAATTAAAGAAAGCAGAAAACTCAGGTACATCAACTCATTACAAGTATATTCAAATCTCTCACTAAAACTGGCAAGTAAACCATCACTCTGGACAACACAATCAACCAAACATCCATACACACCTCACATTTCCCCACGATGAATAAACATATTCACACACACAGACAATTATCATACGTCAATCAACTCTTCATCCTCTTGCACTGTAAACACACACCGTCATCACACTTAACAACCTCGAGCATAGAACTACACAACTATTCCACTATCCCCCCCCAGGAACACACAAACACAGACACGAACACGGACACAATAGAAAAGCATGTGGATTCCAAAAATCAACCATCTCTATCCCCAAACTAACCCCGAAAGTCGTCAAGTCGTTGAACGAATACCCACCTCTACTACCCAGTGTCTGCATGTACGTCTTGCATGAGCGATCAATTGACTGATACCTTGTTGACAAGTCGTGGTGTAATCAGGGCTTGTTGGGTAATTGATTCAGTGACACCATGGCTACCAGTGTAATTTGCATTGCAGGAGACACAAGAGAAGGAGGCAACAGTTGATTTAGATTGTCAGTGATGGTGATTGTGATGTTGGTGCTGCGGTCACCTCTATTGATGATGATGATGACGACGACGGTGGTGGTGGTGGTGGTGGTTATAATGTGATTGTGTTAGTAAAGTAGTGTCTGAGAGCGTGAATGGTAGTTTGTGATGATGAGAATGAGATTTGAAGAGTGTCGGTGTCAGTGTGAATGTCTCATTGTATGATTGTGTGATTGATTGATTGATTGATTGAGTGTGTATGTGTGAAAGTTAGATTGGGAGTGATGATTGGATGAAGAGGAGTAGATGATAGAGGGGTAAGCAGATATGGGTGTGTGTTCAGACTTGCCTTGATAGATGGCTTGATGATAGATAGCTTTTTTGATTAATTAAAGGGATGATCCGAAGACCTCCCCACTAGCAAAAACTACGCGTCCGAGCGAGCCCAATTAGGGATCGTCGCAGGCTTCAACACGCCGAAGTGCAAAGGCGAGCCTCCACCTGGGGCCAGGGCATTCTTGATCACCCTGGTCCCGGCGCCAAGTAAGTTTAATCACGCTGTTCGACACACCCTGGCCTATTCAATTCAAACACCTTACTCTCATTCCACCATTTGCATACTATTTCCAGCAGCATACACATGCACATCCTATCACCACATCACAACTATCTCATGTCAAACATTACATTGCATCACACCTATCACAATCATCAAACATCATCAAAATCACAAACACACACGTACACATCAATTTCAAATTATCAAAACCCACACGACATATACTACTATGTACACAAATTCAGTAGACTACAACGAAGTTCACAATTATAATTCGCCTAACACTCACAATACACATCATCTATCAACAACAAACACCCATTATACAATAATTATCAGCCTCAATAACACACACACACACACACACAGAGGACTCCTCATTCACAGTCAATCAAGCCGTCCTCAACTGACACTACACACATCTAACAAACAAACTCACCACACAACACAGCACAGCACAGCACACGCGTCAAAACACTCACCCAACAAATCAAGTACATCAACTCATTACAAGTATATTCAAATCTCTCACTAAAACTGGCAAGTAAACCATCACTCTGGACAACACAATCAACCAAACATCCATACACACCTCACATTTCCCCACGATGAATAAACATATTCACACACACAGACAATTATCATACGTCAATCAACTCTTCATCCTCTTGCACTGTAAACACACACCGTCATCACACTTAACAACCTCGAGCATAGAACTACACAACTATTCCACTATCCTCCCCCAGGAACACACAAACACAGACACGAACACGGACACAATAGAAAAGCATGTGGATTCCAAAAATCAACCATCTCTATCCCCAAACTAACCCCGAAAGTCGTCAAGTCGTTGAACGAATACCCACCTCTACTACCCAGTGTCTGCATGTACGTCTTGCATGAGCGATCAATTGACTGATACCTTGTTGACAAGTCGTGGTGTAATCAGGGGCTTGTTGGGTAATTGATTCAGTGACACCATGGCTACCAGTGTAATTTGCATTGCAGGAGACACAAGAGAAGGAGGCAACAGTTGATTTAGATTGTCAGTGATGGTGATTGTGATGTTGGTGCTGCGGTCACCTCTATTGATGATGATGATGACGACGACGACGACGGTGGTGGTGGTGGTGGTTATAATGTGATTGTGTTAGTAAAGTAGTGTCTGAGAGCGTGAATGGTAGTTTGTGATGATGAGAATGAGATTTGAAGAGTGTCGGTGTCAGTGTGAATGTCTCATTGTATGATTGTGTGATTGATTGATTGATTGATTGAGTGTGTATGTGTGAAAGTTAGATTGGGAGTGATGATTGGATGAAGAGGAGTAGATGATAGAGGGGTAAGCAGATATGGGTGTGTGTTCAGACTTGCCTTGATAGATGGCTTGATGATAGATAGCTTTTTTGATTAATTAAAGGGATGATCCGAAGACCTCCCCACTAGCAAAAACTACGCGTCCGAGCGAGCCCAATTAGGGATCGTCGCAGGCTTCAACACGCCGAAGTGCAAAGGCGAGCCTCCACCTGGGGCCAGGGCATTCTTGATCACCCTGGTCCCGGCGCCAAGTAAGTTTAATCACGCTGTTCGACACACCCTGGCCTATTCAATTCAAACACCTTACTCTCATTCCACCATTTGCATACTATTTCCAGCAGCATACACATGCACATCCTATCACCACATCACAACTATCTCATGTCAAACATTACATTGCATCACACCTATCACAATCATCAAACATCATCAAAATCACAAACACACACGTACACATCAATTTCAAATTATCAAAACCCACACGACATATACTACTATGTACACAAATTCAGTAGACTACAACGAAGTTCACAATTATAATTCGCCTAACACTCACAATACACATCATCTATCAACAACAAACACCCATTATACAATAATTATCAGCCTCAATAACACACACACACACACACACAGAGGACTCCTCATTCACAGTCAATCAAGCCGTCCTCAACTGACACTACACACATCTAACAAACAAACTCACCACACAACACAGCACAGCACAGCACACGCGTCAAAACACTCACCCAACAAATCAAGTACATCAACTCATTACAAGTATATTCAAATCTCTCACTAAAACTGGCAAGTAAACCATCACTCTGGACAACACAATCAACCAAACATCCATACACACCTCACATTTCCCCACGATGAATAAACATATTCACACACACAGACAATTATCATACGTCAATCAACTCTTCATCCTCTTGCACTGTAAACACACACCGTCATCACACTTAACAACCTCGAGCATAGAACTACACAACTATTCCACTATCCTCCCCCAGGAACACACAAACACAGACACGAACACGGACACAATAGAAAAGCATGTGGATTCCAAAAATCAACCATCTCTATCCCCAAACTAACCCCGAAAGTCGTCAAGTCGTTGAACGAATACCCACCTCTACTACCCAGTGTCTGCATGTACGTCTTGCATGAGCGATCAATTGACTGATACCTTGTTGACAAGTCGTGGTGTAATCAGGGCTTGTTGGGTAATTGATTCAGTGACACCATGGCTACCAGTGTAATTTGCATTGCAGGAGACACAAGAGAAGGAGGCAACAGTTGATTTAGATTGTCAGTGATGGTGATTGTGATGTTGGTGCTGCGGTCACCTCTATTGATGATGATGATGACGACGACGACGGGGTGGTGGTGGTGGTGGTTATAATGTGATTGTGTTAGTAAAGTAGTGTCTGAGAGCGTGAATGGTAGTTTGTGATGATGAGAATGAGATTTGAAGAGTGTCGGTGTCAGTGTGAATGTCTCATTGTATGATTGTGTGATTGATTGATTGATTGAGTGAGTGTGTATGTGTGAAAGTTAGATTGGGAGTGATGATTGGATGAAGAGGAGTAGATGATAGAGGGGTAAGCAGATATGGGTGTTTGTTCAGACTTGCCTTGATAGATGGCTTGATGATAGATAGCTTTTTTGATTAATTAAAGGGATGATCCGAAGACCTCCCCACTAGCAAAAACTACGCGTCCGAGCGAGCCCAATTAGGGATCGTCGCAGGCTTCAACACGCCGAAGTGCAAAGGCGAGCCTCCACCTGGGGCCAGGGCATTCTTGATCACCCTGGTCCCGGCGCCAAGTAAGTTTAATCACGCTGTTCGACACACCCTGGCCTATTCAATTCAAACACCTTACTCTCATTCCACCATTTGCATACTATTTCCAGCAGCATACACATGCACATCCTATCACCACATCACAACTATCTCATGTCAAACATTACATTGCATCACACCTATCACAATCATCAAACATCATCAAAATCACAAACACACACGTACACATCAATTTCAAATTATCAAAACCCACACGACATATACTACTATGTACACAAATTCAGTAGACTACAACGAAGTTCACAATTATAATTCGCCTAACACTCACAATACACATCATCTATCAACAACAAACACCCATTATACAATAATTATCAGCCTCAATAACACACACACACACACACACACAGAGGACTCCTCATTCACAGTCAATCAAGCCGTCCTCAACTGACACTACACACATCTAACAAACAAACTCACCACACAACACAGCACAGCACAGCACACGCGTCAAAACACTCACCCAACAAATCAAGTACATCAACTCATTACAAGTATATTCAAATCTCTCACTAAAACTGGCAAGTAAACCATCACTCTGGACAACACAATCAACCAAACATCCATACACACCTCACATTTCCCCACGATGAATAAACATATTCACACACACAGACAATTATCATACGTCAATCAACTCTTCATCCTCTTGCACTGTAAACACACACCGTCATCACACTTAACAACCTCGAGCATAGAACTACACAACTATTCCACTATCCTCCCCCAGGAACACACAAACACAGACACGAACACGGACACAATAGAAAAGCATGTGGATTCCAAAAATCAACCATCTCTATCCCCAAACTAACCCCGAAAGTCGTCAAGTCGTTGAACGAATACCCACCTCTACTACCCAGTGTCTGCATGTACGTCTTGCATGAGCGATCAATTGACTGATACCTTGTTGACAAGTCGTGGTGTAATCAGGGGCTTGTTGGGTAATTGATTCAGTGACACCATGGCTACCAGTGTAATTTGCACTGCAGGAGACACAAGAGAAGGAGGCAACAGTTGATTTAGATTGTCAGTGATGGTGATTGTGATGTTGGTGCTGCGGTCACCTCTATTGATGATGATGATGATGACGACGACGGTGGTGGTGGTGGTGGTGGTTATAATGTGATTGTGTTAGTAAAATAGTGTCTGAGAGTGTGAATGGTAGTTTGTGATGATGAGAATGAGATTTGAAGAGTGTCGGTGTCAGTGTGAATGTCTCATTGTATGATTGTGTGATTGATTGATTGATTGAGTGAGTGTGTATGTGTGAAAGTTAGATTAGGAGTGATGATTGGATGAAGAGGAGTAGATGATAGAGGGGTAAGCAGATATGGGTGTGTGTTCAGACTTGCCTTGATAGATGGCTTGATGATAGATAGCTTTTTTGATTAATTAAAGGGATGATCCGAAGACCTCCCCACTAGCAAAAACTACGCGTCCGAGCGAGCCCAATTAGGGATCGTCGCAGGCTTCAACACGCCGAAGTGCAAAGGCGAGCCTCCACCTGGGGCCAGGGCATTCTTGATCACCCTGGTCCCGGCGCCAAGTAAGTTTAATCACGCTGTTCGACACACCCTGGCCTATTCAATTCAAACACCTTACTCTCATTCCACCATTTGCATACTATTTCCAGCAGCATACACATGCACATCCTATCACCACATCACAACTATCTCATGTCAAACATTACATTGCATCACACCTATCACAATCATCAAACATCATCAAAATCACAAACACACACGTACACATCAATTTCAAATTATCAAAACCCACACGACATATACTACTATGTACACAAATTCAGTAGACTACAACGAAGTTCACAATTATAATTCGCCTAACACTCACAATACACATCATCTATCAACAACAAACACCCATTATACAATAATTATCAGCCTCAATAACACACACACACACACACACAGAGGACTCCTCATTCACAGTCAATCAAGCCGTCCTCAACTGACACTACACACATCTAACAAACAAACTCACCACACAACACACACAGCACAGCACAGCACACGCGTCAAAACACTCACCCAACAAATCAAGTACATCAACTCATTACAAGTATATTCAAATCTCTCACTAAAACTGGCAAGTAAACCATCACTCTGGACAACACAATCAACCAAACATCCATACACACCTCACATTTCCCCACGATGAATAAACATATTCACACACACAGACAATTATCATACGTCAATCAACTCTTCATCCTCTTGCACTGTAAACACACACCGTCATCACACTTAACAACCTCGAGCATAGAACTACACAACTATTCCACTATCCTCCCCCAGGAACACACAAACACAGACACGAACACGGACACAATAGAAAAGCATGTGGATTCCAAAAATCAACCATCTCTATCCCCAAACTAACCCCGAAAGTCGTCAAGTCGTTGAACGAATACCCACCTCTACTACCCAGTGTCTGCATGTACGTCTTGCATGAGCGATCAATTGACTGATACCTTGTTGACAAGTCGTGGTGTAATCAGGGCTTGTTGGGTAATTGATTCAGTGACACCATGGCTACCAGTGTAATTTGCACTGCAGGAGACACAAGAGAAGGAGGCAACAGTTGATTTAGATTGTCAGTGATGGTGATTGTGATGTTGGTGCTGCGGTCACCTCTATTGATGATGATGATGATGATGACGACGACGACGGTGGTGGTGGTGGTGGTTATAATGTGATTGTGTTAGTAAAATAGTGTCTGAGAGTGTGAATGGTAGTTTGTGATGATGAGAATGAGATTTGAAGAGTGTCGGTGTCAGTGTGAATGTCTCATTGTATGATTGTGTGATTGATTGATTGAGTGATGTGTGTGTGTGTATGTGTGAAAGGTAGATTAGGAGTGATGATTGGATGAAGAGGAGTAGATGATAGAGGGGTAAGCAGATATGGGTGTGTGTTCAGACTTGCCTTGATAGATGGCTTGATGATAGATAGCTTTTTTGATTAATTAAAGGGATGATCCGAAGACCTCCCCACTAGCAAAAACTACGCGTCCGAGCGAGCCCAATTAGGGATCGTCGCAGGCTTCAACACGCCGAAGTGCAAAGGCGAGCCTCCACCTGGGGCCAGGGCATTCTTGATCACCCTGGTCCCGGCGCCAAGTAAGTTTAATCACGCTGTTCGACACACCCTGGCCTATTCAATTCAAACACCTTACTCTCATTCCACCATTTGCATACTATTTCCAGCAGCATACACATGCACATCCTATCACCACATCACAACTATCTCATGTCAAACATTACATTGCATCACACCTATCACAATCATCAAACATCATCAAAATCACAAACACACACGTACACATCAATTTCAAATTATCAAAACCCACACGACATATACTACTATGTACACAAATTCAGTAGACTACAACGAAGTTCACAATTATAATTCGCCTAACACTCACAATACACATCATCTATCAACAACAAACACCCATTATACAATAATTATCAGCCTCAATAACACACACACACACACACACAGAGGACTCCTCATTCACAGTCAATCAAGCCGTCCTCAACTGACACTACACACATCTAACAAACAAACTCACCACACAACACAGCACAGCACAGCACAGCACACGCGTCAAAACACTCACCCAACAAATCAAGTACATCAACTCATTACAAGTATATTCAAATCTCTCACTAAAACTGGCAAGTAAACCATCACTCTGGACAACACAATCAACCAAACATCCATACACACCTTAGTAACACACACACACATAGAGGACTCGTCATTCATTGCCATTTTTCACTCACACTACGGCTACCTACGCAGATTTCAGTATCAGCTAACGTATATATTTTACATTTTCAATCAACTATACGAATTTTTCGGTGGTTTTTATATATCTGTTTCTGTATTATTTGAGATTTATGGTAATACTCTTTGTACTCACCTCACTTATTTCAGGGTCATTTGGGAAATTCACTATTGGGCATAATGCTGAACATCGGCCAATGCAACCCCAACCGCATTTTGCTTCTTGGCTTGTGATTATATATAACTGTCCCGATTGAACTGACTGTGATGCTAGTACCATGAGACGTACACAAGGTGGATAAACAACAGGATTTCCGCTGAATGAAGTAACCATTTCTTTTGGAGATATGGAACGTTCTTTGCATTCATGGAGAGTATGTCTGCAACTTGTATGGCTTCTACAGCTTCTACTTTTACGCTTCCTTTTACTCTTGTGTTTCCTTCTTCGCACGGAACCTGAAGAATATATATATATATATATATATTGATTATTGAGTGACAAAATAAATGCACTGGGAAAAGAAAGTGTATTTAAATTTATAACAAAATATCAAAATTGAACAAAAGCATTTTTTCTGAATACGTTTATGCTACGCTAGAAAACAAACTTCATCATCAAATTATTTAGTCATGAAAACTATTAGGAGAATAGAAGAATGTATAAGTGCCATGTGGTGTATAAGTTTTTTTTCGATAGACACAATGTATTAATGTTTTACTGACTTATAAAACAATTAGTTCTAAGCTTAAACTACACACTATCTAGTTTAATCTTTCAATATGAGCATACTTGTGATAGGAAATTACGAAATGTTGGTCTGGCACAACTGCTTGAGTAGTATTCGAGTATTCCCCCTTGCGTCATCTTCGCGAAAGTAACATGAAGTGACGAACACTATTTTAATGCTCCCGATAAATATGCATGCCTGCTTTCATTATGTTGTACTTCAGTCATTCAACACTTATTTTTCATATATTCTGTTTGATTGTTTTTTAAGTGGCGCATTTCTAAGTGTCTATATTGTACCAAGTTTGTGTTTAAATAAATAAAACATTTATATTTATAAATGTCTAGCACGTGAATAAATGAAATCTAGCTGACTCTGAACTATAGCAAACCATAACGAAACTACCCAATTAAGACCCTGACAAATCTTTATCGACCGATCAAATACGTCCGCAGCAGAAGTGTGTACTTTGAAAAAAAATTGTCTATATATACTTAACGCAAAGTCTAGATATAGTCAATAGGATAACATTCTTGTATATGTTCCAAGAAAACCTCCCAGCTTCTCATAGGGGTCGTCATAATCAGGTTAAACCAACTTCTGTACATAAATTCGTCAATATAACTTTAAATCACCGAGTTTCGTGACTCATTCACCTTTTTGGATCCTTTTTCCTCGGTGACTCTAGAAATTTCTGGTGGAATTTTTCTAAGTCTCATCGAGAGAATCCACGAAATCATCCGTATGATTGACCACATTGTGAATAATGCACAAGGATGACGGTTGACTATACGTTTTTTCCTCAATTCCAATGAGCCTCTTCTCTAAGCAGTACTCAAATACTAGATATGGGTGAAATCTGCTACGTAATTCGTCTAAACCATCCACAATTTCTTCTGTCTACTACCAGCTCATTTTAGTAGTTGCTCAAGGTCATCACCCTCCTCATTATATGGTCCCGTTTTAGGCTGCTACAGAAAAATCGTTAAAAAAGTGTCTTCACTGAGAATATTTTGTAGTAAACGACACTTAATTTGTTTGCGTATACATATCTAAACCTTACAAAATAGTAAAAATGATCATGCTTGTAGAATATCCATTTGACGAGTTACACTGAAATTCCCAAATTCGTTAAATCTCAGGGTTCCTCTCTCACCATGTTGAGTATTATAAATTTAACATGAGAAAGATACATTCCATTAAGTAAAATAAAATTTCTATCGTGATAAACAACCAATAAGCTTTGGGTTAATTCAGTTGAAGTACTAATGAATGATCAAGAGATTTAACACAATAACCGTAAAGCATTAAAAGTAGCAATGTGTTGTCCTGAATAAACGGGTCAATTTAAAAACTCTAACCAGATGGATATACATAATTAAACTAAAAATTCAGCGAAGAAAATTCTGTTTTAGATGATTTCATTTCAAAACTGTACAATTTTACATATATGAGTTACAATGCACAATAACAATCAGCTATCTTCGCTCTGTGTGTGTGTGTGTTCGACTTTGACAATGAGTGGAAATACTTAAGTGAGATAATGATATTAGTGTGTAGGAATATGAGTCACCATTGTTTAGATATATAAATAAATAATTAAATAGATAGAGGTCAACTTACAGTTCATTAGACAAGTGTGAAATAGATGATCAGAAAGCAAAGTAAATTCAGAAAGTGTATATGTGAGTATAATATGATGGAAAGATAGGATGAGTGAAATGTTGTCAACTTGGTAGACTAGATAAAATGTTAGAATATGATAAAATAAAGTAAACACCAACTCTAGCCGTCCATTGGTGCACCTTAATGTCTCGGAAATGTCACCTCGATTGATTAATTCCATGTGCGCTCGCTCACATGTTCACCTGCTGCTTCGGACCGAGGTACATAGGACGTTCGTCGAGAAACATATCCCATCGCGTTCGAGAGCGCCTCCCAGTTTGGTCGAGAATAGGAGAATGTAGAGGTATCAATTCATCCATACTCCAACATATTGCAGATACTGACGAACACACAACATCTCACACATCGTTCAATATAGTCTACAAAGTTTACTGAAAGGGACACGAGTGCATTTCATTTGTATAGCAGAGGCCTTGGCAATGTATAACATAAAGCCAGAGCTCTGTGTACAAAAACAATTTGTACGATCTCTTTCTCTCTTACCATAGTCTTGACTTTACTATGTAATTCGCATAACAACTTTTTCCTATCCTTCTTTATTCCGTGTTCCATTTTTGTCTCATTTCATTTTACTTTATGTTATCATATTCTAGCGTCGGTGGCGCAGCGGTTAGGATGCTCGCCGACCATGCTTATGGTCCGGGGTTCGATCCCCGGCCGGCGCACTCCTTTACCTCACTCAGCCAGAAGTAAAGCTGGTGAAGAGGAAAGGTTGGGCATGGGGCTAGCAACCCCATCCTGTAAAATCAAACACTGCTACAGAAACTTCAAGTCACTAGCTTGAAGCCCTATGTTCCACTGGGAACGTGAAGGAAAAATTATTATTATCATATGCTAACATTTTGACATTTCACTCATCCTATCATTCCATCATATTATACTCACATATTCACATTTCCGAATTTACTTTGCTTTCTGATCATCTATTTCACACTTGTCTAATGAACTATAAGTTGACCTCTATCTTTTTGGTTATTCATTTATATATCTAAACAATGGTGACTCATAATTATATATATATATATATATTTATATATTTCAACAGATTAAATAGACAATAATAATCAGTAGCTGTGTGTATGTGCGTGTTAGACCTTGACAGTGAATATAAGTACTAAAGTGCTAAAATGATTTTAGTGTATAGGATTGAGTCACCATTGTTTATATATATATATATATATATCACTATGATTCATCAATTTAATAAAAAAAAGTCACATGTTTCACATTAATATGATAAACTTTAACCATAGGTAATCGCCTTAGAAATAGTTATTTGGAAATATTTTGATATGAAATGATTACAATAAAGGTTTCTGTATTTCCCGATGAATGAAAAGCAAAACTATATTGTTTTTACTGACGTTTCGCTATTTAGTGCTAATAGCTTTATCAAAGTATTATTATGATTAAATTCTAGACGTGATAACCACAGCTAAAATATGAAGAAAAACTAAATGAACATTAGGTAAACTTCTCTACAGATGAATAATCTACAATAGTTAGAGTAATTGTGTTCGTCTTACTTCATCTAGGGATAGAAGGAATTCAAAGGACAAACACATTTGGCTTCTGTTCACAACCATAACAACCAGAACAAATTGTCAGTCAGTGACAATTAATTGGTTACAGGATTTCATCATGAGATGACATTGGTTAGAGAACCACTGAAAAACCTGGGAGTACTGGACAGCTGTTTCATCCTATTTTGGGACTCTTCATCAGTACGCGCCCACCGGGTTTTAAACTCAGGACCTTCTTGTTACAAGGCGAGCTCGTAGACCATAAAGCCACTGAGACCCGATCGAACGGCCCAACAAATCAATACTTGAGTGACAATTAATGTTATCAGTCAATCAACAAAGAGAGAGAAAAAATACATAACTATTAAAACAATTAGTCCCTTTGATAAATCTGCATAAGGCATTAAGAAGACAAATTTCGCGAGATGATATCATTTTGCAGTTTCTTTACAACCGCATTACAACTAAAATGGTTAACAATGATAAAATAAAGATCATGACAATTACTCAGTTAAATAAAAAACAAAAGTACATAAAAATGACCAATCACATTTAAATAGGTCATGTAGTCCATGGTTGGCGAAGTTTAAAGTCTATTGAATTTTCTACACACAGTTTAGGCTGTATGTGATGAAACCAAAGTGCTTCCATCACCTTCAATAACTTTGAATTTGAGTTATGTGAAATAATTGGGAAATAGCCATTAATAGTGATTTTGTGACCAGACATTAATAAGTGTTTTGCAATGGATGATGATGCCGGATTTCTGTTAAGACGGGAGTTGACAACAACAATAAAATAAAAGTATTTCTTTATGTTCTCAAATAAAAAGTCTTGAAAAACACACAGCTTATTAGACAAATAAAACTGACCCAAGCACCGAATACAGTTGTCTTGCCTATTCTGAAGTCAAGCTCATCAACAGTGCAAACTGTTCGACTCAGTTCAAACTGCACAAATTCGTGGACGTACTAGCAAAACACAGGAACAAATTCATCAATCGAAAACTGTACACAAACAAAAGTGAGAAATCATCAGAATTTCTGTGAAAATTTTAAAATACATATTTTTTGATAATAATCCCCACCTGACTGACTGGTTTCAAAATAGAACTTTGCACAGATGTGCAGCAGTTCCAGTTGCCACACTTCACCTAGCACACAAAGCAACAGAAGTTAGGAAAAAAGAGATTCAAAACACAGATATGAGGCGAAAAGAATAGTAATACGGAAGAGCTATAAAATCTTATCAGATATTATCAATCACAAACACTGGATCAGTTTGCATCAACCACTGAGGACGATTTTAAGCCACATCACCAATTGTCCCCAGCCATTCATCATAACCATCCCGAGGACCACGACCAGGAAGCATACACCTTCCGATGTGGCCGATTTAAGCTAACTGTTTTGGATTTCATGAACGGATCAAGCCATGTTTTGGTTTGACCACCAATTGCTCTTTTCTAAACTGATTTACTTATCCTATGTCAGCTAACATTCACCGTTGTCGAGGAAAA